AAAAAAAAAAAAAATGAGTATAAGACGACAAAACGACGATCCGAGTAACCAACCAAAGTTACTCGATAAGATTGAGTAAGTCTTTGAGGCACACAAAGTAAAAACTCGTACGATAGATCCCTCTAAGGAAAACTGACAAGATAAAGAAGTGATCTTATAAGCCACGCATAAATCATTTGTCATGCGTACTCGTCAACACGTTCGTTGGCGTCAATATCTCTCATTATGCATATAACCTTACATAATATAAAGAGCTCAAAACTCAAAAGATCATGAGGCGAAAACATTGTCAAATTGTAAAGTAAGCGTGACTTTAGAACAGTTCAGTCAAGAACATGTCTTAAACTCGGGAGCCTTCCGTTCACACCCAATTTGGCTCCGATTAATTAAATAATAAATGAAATAATAAAGTATGGCCCAATAACCAAGAAGCCGAAAATACATGATAAATAAATATACAAACATGTTCTCAAACTGATCACCTAAAAGCCGACCGGCTCCCCAGATGTTGAGTCCGCCCGTTGTCAAATGTCATAAGCGGACCCCATGATGACCATCTCACATAAAATAATAGTTTACTATTATTTTTATTTATTTATTTATTTATTTATCAACTTGTAAAAAGGGTCATATATATAAATGGCCTTAAGGGAGAAAAGGGGAACTCTCTATTTATTCATCCCTCCCAACAATAAAAAAGAAAAGAAAAGACTCTCTCAAAAAATAAGAAATAAAACTCCCATTCTTAATCATTTTGTTCTTCAATTTCATTCCAGAAATTCGACTTACATTCGACGGTTGATCGTCAGATTTTTTATATCAACATACTATTAAGTATATATATTAATATTATGATACATATATATATATACAATGGGTATTTTAGTAATTTAACATATATCTCGAGCCAAACGACAATACAAAATATAGGTTTGAGCTCGACTCGAAATCGTGCTCGAGCCGCTCGAGCTCGACTCAAGTTTGAACCGAGCTTTGACTCGACTGCTCACGAGCAACTCGATCCGTGTGCAGCCATAACTACGAGGAACGAGCATCTTGAATAAAACGTAGTCTATAAGGAAATATGTGCCAAGAAAAAAATGAAAATAAAAAATTTCTTCTCCAATATATAATTCTGACTTTGAAATTAAGTGGAGATGAATAATAAATAAATTTGATATAATGCATACAG